GGTGATAGTTCTTGATTACTTTTTGATAAATAATTCGTTCTTATTGCGAAATAGGAGCACTATTTATCAATCTGTAATAAAGGACGTGAGGAAATCCTGTCTTTTTTAAAGACAAAATTGTAAAAAGTGAATAGGTACTTACATTATTGTCAGTATCTTCAATAACCAATAAGATGGGGGATTCTAGCTTGAACATTTTCCTGTACATACTGTTAAGACTGAACCCGTGCTGACTGGTGCTGAAAACCAAAGTCCAGGCATACCCTTCAGCTCGGGCTGGTAAATGTCTGCAGAGCGACTCTCGATGATCATCGGTGAGAATTTCGGTCTTACCAATCAGATCGGGAGGTGATAAGTCGTCAAGGGACTGGGTATCGACGGTGCCGTAGAAGGCGCGCCGATATTCGTCCGACATTGACTGCACCTGAGGAAAAATCGTTTTATAATCAGTTGCTACAAATGCCCATCGTACGGTAGAGCTGGAAAGCGTCTAGACCAAGCGACAGATATGGTTCTAAACCACTAAGGTTGCTGTGTTTACATGTACACTAACGAAAATTCCTGGTGCGCTTTTATCCCAATTGATGTCCATATACAGATGTTAACAAAGCGGAACAGTTTTACTGATCATTGAATTTCTGATCGACGTCAGTTAGTTTTCGGACCAAACCAAACTGACGGCTCACGGATACCTACTGGTGCAAAACCATCCTTATTTATTTCGGTCACGTAGGTTTTTGAATACCGGCCAAAAATGCGCTATCGGAAATGCGATCTGAACGGAAATCAACAAACAAACAGAACTATCCACTAGTAGGTACACAGTTGTGCGCGAACAACTAAACTAATCTAACATTCAACATTTAGGTCCATCAACTAAAGAAGCCACTACATAGTGTTGGATGTCTGTACGATTTTCACGGCTCTGACTAGGGACGCTATTATTGGAAGACATTAATCAGCTGGGAAAGGTAGACTCATTAAATTTCGTTGTATTTTCACATGTTACCGGCTCCGTGTCGATTATTTGTACAGCGTAAATATTACCATTTTTTAAATTAATTTCACCTTTTGAGCGTCTTTATCAACATTTGAAGTACGCGAACTTTTGCGAGTGTTGCATCAATTCCTTATCGCTGTTGAGTGTTTTTATGTGTTATTAAATTTTATAAACAATCTTCTTTACGATAAGCCATTAAATCTTATTTTTACTGGTGAAAAACTGTGGTTTGCACTCGAAATATCCCCTACCCATATGCACTTACCATCGGAAGCAATTCGAAATTCATTTTAATCCCTACACAGTGAACAGTAAAGATATTGCTGCACCGAATTATTTTTTCATTCAAAATACGCACTGCAACACCAGAAGCCACCAGATGTTTAAATTAATTGGGCTAATTAAGCAGCTCACACGAAAGCCTTAAAACAATCGGGGACAACGGGCTGGTACCGAAACCGACTTAAAAACATACTTTTGCATGTTTGCGCTTTTCTGAACCTCAGATTACGTTGCTATTTGTTATTGAATTGGCCTGACAAGATAAGTTTCATTGAAGCGAAAATGGTCAGATAAACTGATCGAAGGTCGAACAACTTTTCATTCAAAACTGCCAATTACGTGGCCACTTCTTCGTCATTATTGAATACATTCAACACAACCGCTCGCAACGATAGCATCAATCCACCTTTCCCACCTGGTTCCTTAAGGGCGTCAAAGACGCACCACGTTGACAAATATCACCAAACATTTAGTACATCCAATTTGAAACTAAATACATGTTCGTGTGTTTAGCAGCAAACTCAGTATCCTTGACGGAAGAGTGAAATTAATTAGAACCAATACAATAAAGTTAGCATGTTCGGCTAATTGCACGGCGCTAAATTAATTGACCACTGAAAACGAGTTCACGTATGCGTCTAATTGCTTTATTTTTCGCATAAAATGACTCACCCACTTTGCACAACCCAGTTACAAAGCGTCACACTTGAATATTTGGCGATATTTGCTTCTAAAAGAATATTCGGGCGTTGAACAGGGAAAGTTAAAATCTAGCTCTAGAAGGAATATAGAATAAAGAGATATAGATGTAGATGGGGTTGCACACAAGGCTGTGTATTATGTGTGGGTGCGTGTTTTCAATCACCTCGTCGACGCTTCCTTCGGACATCGTTTGCGTCTTGATGATGTTGTAGATCTTAGCGTAAGGGGCCTTGATCAGCTGCGCCCGAACCAAATCAAAGCTTATCAGTCGATTTTACAGGCATTTTCAACGCCGAAGTGAATTCAAACAATCATTATTCAATACAAGTTCGTAAATCGTCCCATTTAGTATGTGCAAACGCTTTGTGCTCGTAAAAATGCCCATAGCAAATATCAGTTTTTCCTGACTTACCTCCCAATTAGTGTTGGTGATTTCAGCCATTTCTTCTCCTTGACTTCCATGTCGGCTGCTTGATGGGGTCGGCTCTTCGCTCCATAGTTCAGTGTCCAGATCCACAAGCATAAAGTTGCGCTCTTTGATCTAAAACATTAATAATCCCAAGTTAACAACTTGGCACAACGTCTGTAAATCTTGCGAACATCAACATTGTTCTGTCCTCCCTAGATCACACCTTCAGGGGCCAATTTGAAATCACTCGGTATATATAAGTCTAATAATATTTTATTTTTTTTGATTTAAATCCGACGTGCCATTACTGCAAATAACGATTTAACGAGACGAATAATCTTTAACGACTTGCACTGAAACGTGCAATTTATAGTCAGCACCAACATGC